AATTTTACCTATATATAGAAATGTATACCTAATCACTTAATAAATTAACTTGTTTCTAATTTTATTTACATACAGTCAGCAAAAATTCGGTCTGGTCATAAGTCAGTTGTTGCAAATATGTGCTGACACGTTTTTTGCATTGATAGCAATTCAAGTTGTAAATACAAAGTTGCTTATTTAGCCTATTATATAAGTAGGGTCCTAGAAAACTATAGAATTTATTACTGTACATAAATTTTGAGGTCGAGTGCGAACTGCAAACTATATCATTTCGTCTCTTCTTTACAGTGTTGGTATCATAAGGGATCTGCGTGTGTTGCTTCAATATTACTTGCGTTATGTATAGTTGCCTTACAGTTAGTACCTTACAGGATTTGTATAGTTGTTCTGTGGGGAAAAGGAAAGGATAGGAGTGTGCTACTTTTAATATTGCTCTCTGTGCTCGTTCCAAAGACAGCATAGAGGTTTTAGGTACACCACCCCATGAGGTAATACAATAAGTGATAATGGACTGACATAGTGCCATGTACACTTGAGTTATTAATTTAGTATCGGCAATTTTTCGCAATATTTTAAATACAAACATAAGTTTGCGTACTCTGGATACCAAACTCTCAATGTGTGGCCGGAAAGAAAGTGTGTCATCAATAATGATGCCTAGATATTTTATGTGACGAGTTTTGAGGATTTTAGGACATTCACAGGGGTATGTCGAGAGGGCATTACATTTATGCACTGTAAGTTCATCGTTAGTAGTGTTAGTTTGATTTTTACGCATGGAAAAGAGCAAGTACTTTGTTTTGTCAACATTTAGTGTTAGTAAATTGTAGTTTAGCCAGTTATTTACAGAATTAAATTCCCTCTGAGCGTTCTCATAGAGTTCTGTGATTGTTTTTGCGGTAAAAATAAGCGCTGTGTCGTCTGCATATGATATTATTTTTCCGTTTTGTATGTTTAAATTACAGAGATCATTAATATAAATAAGGAAGAGGGTCGGGGCGAGAATACTACCTTGTGGTAATCCAAAACCATGGTTCCCTCGGTCTTCACTTGTGGTCGTATCAATTCGAACACATTGAGAGCGATCATTTAGATAGTTTGTTAGTAGTGTTAGTTGTGTACCCCTTATGCCTATTGCTTCCAATTTATGTAAAAGAAGAGGAATAGAAACAGTATCAAATGCTTTGGCTAGGTCTATAAAAATTGCTAAGCAGTGATTGCCTTTACCAAGTTCTTCAGATACGAAATTAGTTAGGCTATGAACAGCGTCCGCTGTAGACAGTTTTGATCTGAAGCCGAATTGCCTGGGTGAAATCAGGCCATTTTTCTCCAGATAATTTACTAAACGGGTGTTTATAATTTTTTCTAATATTTTGGATAACGAGGGCAGAATGGATATTGGTCTGTAGTTGCTTACAAGCTTTTTGTTTCCTGATTTAAAGATAGGTATTACTAAAGCTTTTTTTAGGGATGTAGGAAAGGTTCCTTTGGATAGACATAAGCGGAATATGTAGGTTAGAAGGGGCACTAGTATACTCTTACAACGTTTTATTATTCTGTTACTTATATTATCACAGCCGACCGCACAGTCATCTTTTAGTCCAGAGATTATTCTAGCTACTTCATTTTCATCTGTATCAAGCAACACAAAGGATTTTTTCTGGTTTGTAATTGTAAAATGCACAGGCGACTGTGTGCTTGGCGAATTACTCACTATCTGGTCTGCAAGATTTTTACCTACGTTAACAAAGTAGTTGTTTACATTGTTAGCTGATATCAGTGGTGTGTTATCACTGCACAAAAGGCCTGAATTTGATTCACGCTGTTTGGCTAAGTAAGTTACAGACTTTATGTGATTCCACAGTGATTTGGTATTGTTTCCGGCTTTTTGCAACTCGCTTCTATCGTATTCGGTTTTAATCTTTTTTAAGAGATTATTGCAGAAGTTTCTGTATCTTTTATATGTTAGTTGGAGTATGGCGTTATCTGGAAATTGTCTAGTTTTTTTATGAAGTTTGTCTCTATGTCTTATACAGCGAAGGAGGCCGGGTGTAATCCACGGTTTTAAATTGTGATTATTTTTGCTATTTCTCGATGTGGTGGTATTTCGTAAAATAGCTTGCTGTATAATATTTATTAAGTAGGATAAAGACAGAGTTGCATCAGCGGTACTATAAACTGGGTTAAAATCTGTGTTGCGTAAATCATTTTCAAGACGGTTCATATTCAATTTGGACTTTGTCAGAATTCTTTTTTGCTTATGGGACGTTAAATTTATTGTTAGTATTACAGCATGGTGATCGGTAATTGTTGAGTTAGTGACAAAGGTTATATATGCTAATTTAGACTTAATCATCACATGATCCAGACAAGAACCACTTTGATGTGTGGGCAGGGTATGTGCAGGCTGGAGCCCATGAAAGGAGCAGAGATCTAAATAGTTGTTGGTCCCTGTGTCAAGAATGTCAGAACCAATGTTTAGATTTATGTCACCAGTTAATATTATGTTCGGGAAGGGTGTTAGGGCTGTAAGGGTCTGATTTAGGGAAAGCAGAAACCTATCAGTGTTTCTAAAGGAAGGGGATCTATACATAGCTAATAGTGCAACATTCTTTCCTATTTTTACCGTGACACAGTTGCAGTCGTGTACGGTTGTTTCTTCAACTGTGGCTTCGAGTGTTTCTTTGATATATACTACGACGCCATCGTTTTGATTATATGTTGATTTACTACAGAAAGTCTGATATCCCGGTATTTGAGGTATATTTTCGTTTCTATTTGACAACCAACACTCTGTTAAAACCATAGCGTCAAAATTTAGGTTAGCTCTGTGCAAAAAAGTGTGAAAACTGATTGATAGATGAACAGTTTATATGAATGAGGTCATGGCCAACAGATGCTAATGTTACAAATATTTGTAGGATCCGGTCTATGTATTGGACATTAACAAATCAACCATATTCTGGAATTGGGATTGCTTTATTCTGTACTTAATATTCTGCTTAGTGAAAAGTGGAGAGGGATTGTGTGAGGAGTTGCCTTTTTAGAATTTTCTCTGGCACAGTTGAGCAATGACAGGGCAAGTCTTTGTGGGTCTATCTTTAATAAGGCTACTGCCAAATAATGTACCTAAATAAATTAATCTTCCAAAACTGAATCTAAATACTTTACTAAAAATTGATAATCACGGCACTGAAACAACTTAAAAAACTATGATTTTATTTAGATTTATTACCATTAGTTTTAGTGTATTATAGAGGCGTTTTAAAAATAATTCTGACATTGATGTGCCCTGTATTTGTTTATCTATTAATTTTCTTTATGAATATTGTATGCGATGAAAGGGCTGTAATTTGGGGCGAGTTCGTTGAACGATACAGTTTTAAACTTCACCTTTACAAACATTTTTTCTGCTTAATTTGTTCTTTATAATCGTTCGCTGACTGGTTTTAGGGTTGCCTACAGCCTGTAACCTGTAAGCTACAGGTGTGTAGAGACCAAGCAATAGCGTGGTTTTAAACTGTGTTCCCAACCTACGTGAAGATTAGATTAAGTCAAATCCTATTTATGTAGAGGAGGTACATAGTCCAGTCAGAGATTTGTGTGGGATATATATTTAATAACTAATATAACTGACAGAAACTCAGAGTCGTGGGGCATCACCTCTTTTGGTCACTAGTTGAAAGTAAAATATAAAAAATACATCTTACAAAACAAAGGAGTACTGTAAACTAATTACTCAAAGAAAACAATTCAGCAGTTGTGGTTTCATAATGTAATGTCAAAGCCTACTAAAAGGTTTACCTAATATTAAAAAATATGATATATATTTTAGCAGCCCTTAGAACGCCAGATGCCGTTTTAATGATTTGGCAAGCTCTAATGGGTGTTTCATAGGATGAAAAGGTGTCCGTTTTTATACAAATTTTCGGTCATTGACATTAGAACAGTGTAAACTAAACTAACTAAAGAAAGAGTATCACAGTTAATGTTTACTTTTTTGTTTGAACATTCGAAAAATTTTATAATACACTCTGTCAGTATCCGCTTAATGAGAAATCGGAACTTCCGTTTATCGAGTTTTTAATTAATTTTCATGGAAATGTTTTGAGATGAATATTTGACTACAGATCGAGTTGAAATAATACCTACATTTTATTTACACTTCAACTTATTATGGTTATCACTAAATGCAATCGCATTTGATAAGAATGATTAGCTTTATTAGAATTATTGTATCTACAATACTTTATTTTAAATAAGGAAGGTACCCTTAAGTACCACCCTCCTTTTTCATTAGGGGACGCTTGCGTTTCTTTTTATAGTTTACGTATGTATTATTTTTATATTTTATAAAGTGGTATTCCATTATTTCCATTCATCATAATGACTTTAGATTTTCCTCAGATTCGCAAAATTAGTTTTGTAGTCGTAAATCTTATAATCAAAGTCGTTCGTTTATAAAGTAAATTATATTTTACACGAAATACTTTGCATTTAAATTAAAGTAAACTTACAATTAAAGTAAGGAGTCATTGACACATTGCCGTCATAATTATTCGTTTTACTCACAGAACCAAAAATGTTATTTATGATGTTACGAAGACATCGAGTTAATTGAGATCATCTATTACGTGCGCGTACATAATTATTATTACGCAGTACAAGGGGATTTAGAATTTTTGCGCATCGAGGCGGGTAATCACTTCAAGTGAACGGCCCTTTATCAATGTTCAAGGTGAACAGGGAAGTAATGTGACTCTGGAGTCATTTTCAAATGTATTCTGATTTGCTTAGAGTTGAAATTAGCATTATCTGTAAAACCGCTTTGGACATTGCTTTTGGCGCCTGCACCGCCCCATGGTCCTTTTCTATCCACCGGCGACCTACAGCCAACGCCTAGCTGCATATTTGGTGACGTCACAAAGGTATCTGGAATAGGTACGCCTACGAAATTGATTGGTATATAAGCTGAAGCTTGGAGGGTAAGAATAACAGTTGCTCTCTGTTTAGAAAACAACACAGACCACAATGTACAAGCTGGTGGTGTTGTCCTGCGTACTGGCCCTGGCGGCCGCCAAACCCAGTGGTCTCGGCCCGCTCGGTCTCGGATTCGGCCATCTTGGCTTAGGCTTAGGAGCTCCTTGGGGATTGGGCGCTCACTTGGCTGGCCCCGTGGTAGCACCCGTTGCTGCGCCTGTGTTGGCTGCACCTGTTGCTCACGCTCCCGCCGTCGGTGTCGCCGGTCCTGCAGTGGTTGCCGCGCCTCTTGGTGGTGCTGCCCACAACTACAGAGGACCCGTATCGCTAGCACCTGGACAGCCCGCCAGCATATTGGCTCAAGATGGCAGGCCTCTTGACACTCTGAGTGTGAACGCTGACCGCGCCGTGCACTACACCGCCAGGGCAGTCGACCACGCTACTGCAGCGCATGGTCATCTATTAGGCAAGCGCTCAGCTCCTCTGCTCGGTGCGGCGTGGTCGCACGCGGCCCGCATCGACGTGCCTGCCCTAGCACCTGCGCACCTTGCCATTCCCGCAGCTGCACACCTCGGCTGGCGCGCACCAGTTGCTCCTCTGGCCCTGGGTCATTTGGGTCATGCCGGAGCCTGGGGACATCATTGGTGAAATACTCTGTAAAAAGTTTAGTTTATTCGACAATATATCTGCCTATAGTTTATAAAGAGAGTTACCCGGAAAAAGTTATTTTCTTTTTTTTTCTTTCATTCACTGCACCCATGCCCTACACACTCGACACAGTTATATTAAAAGTAAATTAACTAAAGTTTAGGTATTATTTATAATGTTTACATTAGCATAAATTAAGTAGTAAATACGTATAAGATTAAGGTACGTACCGATTAATATTGGTATTGTTTTTGCTAGCGCGAATTTTATGTAATGAACGTATTTAATTTCAATTATCGCAGATATAAATGTGCAGAATTTAAGCACTACTATTTAAGTCACATAACATAACATCACGCCTTTTATCCCCGAAGGGATAGGCCACTGTACAATGTAACACCCACTATTCACTATTTATGTTATGAGTACCATGTAATAGGGGGTGAGCCTATTGCCGTATACTGGGCACAATTCCAGACTCCGTGCTACCACTGACTTTTTTTTTAAAAACCCAGTAGTACTTCGCCCGACCCGGGAATCGAACCCGAGACCCCTTGCCCGGCAGTCGCACTTTCGACCACTCGGCCAACGAGTCAGTCTATTTAAGTCCTAGAAAGATTATTCTTTCGAAATATTTTATTAATCTTGGCTGAACTGAAGCAAAGCTGTCGTACTATTAGAGAGGCCTACTTTTGGCAGAACACTAGTTGTGGTCGGAAACGTACTGAGGTGGTGATTGGTAATTATTAATCTTCATTTTTCACGTAAAAATTCTGAGTTAATTTTGTATATCAATTGTTTTTCTCTGACTCCGTTAATGTAGCGTTAGTAAGTACATATTACATTGCTACACTATCAATTGTATCTACTTTAGAATATGAAGATGAGTCAAGCACAGTAAGTATAGTGCCATTTGGTGTACATAACCACGCTTACTTTTTCGTCGTCGGGTATAAGATTAGTCTCCTTTTGTTACTGATAAAAACATACAACGAATGTACATGCCCAAATTGGAAACAAGGTGTAGCTTTAGCTTATTTATTTGTTGCATTTACTGGTGTACATAGTGTACGTACAATACAGGAAGCTTAAGTTTTTATTAAGAATATATTTCGGCGTTGAAAAATGGCATCCATTATTTTTGTGCAGTACGTGTGCTTGACGTAATTAATCGTTACGACAAATGTCACTCATTTCGAGATAGTTCACATTTACTTTGTTCGTATGGATTATTTCCTTGGAGAAAAGTAGTCTTTTCATGGTCAACGATGCATTCCACCGACGCCTATCAAGTAATCTTATCACACTAGTATATAAAGCGTCAGTCACGCCACAAGTGCATCAGTGCATCTGAGCTCAGATACAACACAGACCTCTCCACATACAACATGCTGAAGCTGGTGGTGTTGTCCTGCTTGGTGGCGGTCGCAGCAGCCGGCGCGCTCTTACCGTACGCACCCCTCGCCTACTCGGCGCCCCTCGCCTACTCGGCACCCTTCGCCTACGGGGCGCCAGTGCTGGCCCCCTATGCTCCTAACTACCGCGGCCCTCTGTCTCTGGCGCCTGGCCAGCCCGCCAACATCCTCGCGGCTGATGGCAGGCCGCTCGACACCCTGGACGTGAACCTGGATCGCTCCGCACACTACACTGCCAAGGCCCTGGACAACGCTGGCTTCCACATCTTGAAGAAGCGTTCCGCTCCCCTGATCGCGCCCATCAGCCGCTTGGCGGTCGCTGCTCCCTTGGTCCACAGTTACGCCGCTCCTTTGGCTTACTCTGCGCCCGTCATCAGCTCTCGCCTGGCCGTGGCTCCCATCAGCTACGCCGCCGCCCCCATTGCTCACTACTGGAAATGAAGAACTTAGGCCACTGATCAATATTAACAATATAAATAAACCGACTATAAGTTATTTATTTCCTTTTTATTGAACTCTTAAATATACTGGTAACATTTTATTATTACTGGCATCCAATGCGCAGTCTGCGCCTACACCATCGGATCGCACTTGGCTTTTGCCGTCGTATCTAATGGTCAATACTGGTAATCTCTGTTCACTCGTGTATTAATATACGATTCAACATACATACTAATAATTCTGTAAATACTGATCATGGAAAATAATAGAAAATTATATTCTTTTTTAATTGTTTAAGTTTTGTACAATTGTAAAGGAGGATTTAATGCGAACAACATTCTCTGTCAGTCTTCCTTTGGGTAGTGCAGAAATGTATGTACGTGGTAAGCTGCAAAAAGGTTATGACCGGTAGTGGTATAACTATCATAATCTTATACTATTATATAAAGCGGAAGAGTTTGTCTTTTTGTTTGTTTGTTTGTACGGTTTAATCTCCGTAACTACAAGTCTGCTTTGAATAATTATTTTTGTGTTGGATAGAGCATTTATCGAGAATGGCTATAAAACATCACGCTACGACCAATCGAAGCTGAGCAGAGCGTGTGAAACCGCGCGGAAGTAGCTAGTTATTACATAAGCATTGACAATATACGTACATAATAATAAGTATAATTAGGCAGTTTGAGGTACCGTACTACCATACCACATGTCGACAACCTCGTGAGCTACTACTCACGAGGTTGTCGACATGTGGAGTGTGGATTCGGCTATCATTGAGCTGATAGTCATATGGGCCAATGGGTTAACCCCCAAAAGCGTTAGGTGGCTAAATCAAGGGCCTGATACAGAAGGCAGTTCTCCTAGAAACGGCACGTATCGTGGAGGGTCTCTGTAGCCTAACCACCGGTAGCTTGGACTATGATCCCTTGGACATTGGGGATTAATAGGGGGTGAGCCTATTACCATATACCGGGCACAGTTCCAGACTCTGTGCTACTACTGAGATTTTTTTTTTAAAAACCCAGTAATACACATAGTTTTGTCTCTGCATCACCCAAAGGTCTGGCTGGAGGAGAATGCCCTAGGCATTAAGCCCACCTTGTACATTAGTGTGTGCATGAAGTCTTTTTAAAAAATAAAATAATAATAATACTTTGCCCGACCCGGGAATCGAACCGATAGCAATAGGCTCATCCGCTATTACATGGCACTCATAACATAAATAGTGAAAAGTGGGTGTTACATTGTACAGTGGCATAATGTGTACCTCTGTCTACCCCTTCGGGGATAAAAGGCGTGATGTTATATTATGTTATATTATAATTACATATATAAATATGTCTACATCATTATATGAATTTATCCTATTATACATAATTATTCATTATCAACAGCTTATAAGAAGCCACTGCAGACTAAAGGCATCACGGGGAGAAGGTTTGAGCATTAATCACCACGCTTGCTCAATGCGGGTTGGGGATTTTAAACTTATTTTTAAAAATTATGAGCCCAGGTTTCCTCACAATGTTTTCTTTCATATTTTCATTTTCCTTCACCATTTGTCTGTGGTTTCTAAATAATCTTAGAAAGTACATATCACTCGAAAAAAGGCTCGTTGGTTATTTATCGTTGGTAGGTTTCGAACCATCGTCGTGCTTGAGAAGCGTCTTGAACCTCCGGGCCACCACGATGACAAGATAAAAATAATAATCAATTAATCATAAAACAAGATTAAGGAATTAACCATAAACTTTTAATGTATGTGGTAATGTGTTTAAGTTCATCATGGGTGTCAAATTACAAACCTTATAATATTCATTAAAATCATGTAATTTGATGACGATTCAGTTGTTCAACACTGCCTCGTTAGTCCAGTTGCCGCAGACACTGCTGCCGAGCTAGTCCAATGGTACTTTGTCCTACTTTGCAGTATTCTATAAGAATGGTGCCCAATAGTGCGAACTGAAAATATAATTATGAAAAAAAAGTACTTAAAACGTTACTTATTTAAAAGTTTGGTTCGAATCGATATTTGATACTAAGACTGAATGTTGAACAGTTTACTGAATTTCATTGTATTCCTAAAATAACTTAAACAAAAAGTTCATACAATTACATATGGAAAATTTTCTTCAATCTGGTTCCCTTCGAGGTCTCGTGTGATGTAAATGACAGTGTCTGGACAGTATTACGTGTCGCGTGTCTGTGTCGTTAGGTGCGAACAAACAATATTTATTTCAATACGCAACATGTCTCTCGATTACGTGTAGCTGACATCCGATAGCTGAAGGTCTGCTGGTAGCCTGTCAATTAAACAGCTGAAGTAATTTATATTTACTTCTTATGACAACATTCGTCTATATTTTTATTACAGTAAAGGATTTAGAATGAAATATATATTGAAAGCTCAGTTTGATTAAGATGAGTACCTAGTCACAAGTTGACGTCGCGGAGAACCTAACGGGTAACCGGGGCTTCGACTCGACGTGCAGGAGAAGGAACGGGGTGGTTTTTAGTCAGTAAGAGTCTGACACTCCCTCCCGCCTCACCCAGGCGGGAGCAGTCATTCGATGATCAATATAATATTTTAGTAATTATTTTGTCTCAAATCCTAAGGATCCAAATAAGTTATCTACTTAAGTAATACTAAAATCATTACCAGTTTTTGGAGTTCAATAAAAACTACTGAAATAATTAATCTGTAGTCGGTTTATTTACAATTGATCAGTGGACTAAGTTCTTCATTTCCAGTAATGGGCGAGGGGTGCGGCAGCGTAGCTGATGGGAGCCACGGCCAGGCGGGAACTGATGACGGGTGCAGAGTAAGCGAAGGGAGCGGCGTAACTGTGGACCAAGGGAGCAGCGACCGCCACGCGGCTGATGGGCGCGATCAAGGGGGCGGAGCGTTTCTTCAAGATGTGGAAGCCAGCGTTGTCCAGGGCCTTGGCAGTGTAGTGTGCGGAGCGATCCAGGTTCACGTCCAGGGTGTCGAGCGGCCTGCCGTCAGCCGCGAGGATGTTGGCGGGCTGGCCAGGCGCCAGAGACAGAGGGCCGCGGTAGTTAGGAGCGTAGGGGGCCAGCACTGGCGCCCCGTAGGCGAAGGGTGCCGAGTAGGCGAGAGGCGCCGAGTAGGCGAGGGGTGCGTACGGTAAGAGCGCGCCGGCTGCTGCGGCCGCCACCAAGCAGGACAACACCACCAGCTTCAGCATGTTGTATGTGGAGAGGTCTGTGTTGTATCTGAGCTCAGATGCACTGATGCACTTGTGGCGTGACAGACGCTTTATATACTAGTGTGATAAGATTACTTGATGGGCGATACCGAAGTGACCATGAAAAGACTACTTTCCTTCAAGAAAACAAAGTTCATACGAACAAAGCATTTGATAAATTAAAAGTGTATCAGTTCCTGTCGTGTTTGCGGAGCATTAGTACATATTAACAAAATATAAGAAAAACGGTATATCGATAGTAATTTGCTGTATCTCTGCGTAACTCTGCGTAATTTAATATAGATATCATATTTTTTTTTTTGACCTACCATCCGTGAGTTAGTGGTTAGTGCAGGGTGCCACCAGAAGACCAGCGTTGAGTGTTACCACGCTCAACATAATGATGAGGTGGAGGCCCGTTCGGCATGGGCATGCATCTATTTTTGCCAATTTTGTGATTTGTTTTTTGTTTTCAAATGTTTTTATTATTTTCTCATTTTTGTCTAAATCTCTGTGCATGCAATGTGTCGAATAAATATTTTTCTTTCTTTCTTTCTTCTATTATCTATTTATATTCCAGATTTATTGGTGTTCCAGTTTGAAGTGGACGGTACTAATTGTTTTTTCAGAATAGGTAAATAATGTACCGATTAGGTAATATTTTTGTATAATTATGTTCCTTTGCTCCTATAATTTATTTTTCTTATCATATTATGACTTAGCACAAGTTAGAGGTTTGTAGTATTTTTCAGTTTCAACTAAATGAATACGAAAGGTGGACTATCCATAAATAGATATAACTTCATGGTCTCTTTCAGATACCGGGCATATGAATTATAAGTGTTATTATTATGTCATCATTAAGTACTTTGGTAATATGAAGCTACTCCTCCGCGGTTCAAATCTGCTCGGCACCTATTTGATATAACTAGCGTGATATTTTGTATTCTTTCTCGATAGATACATGTACTATCTCATTGGAAGTGAAAGTGGTCTCATTTCTGTAATATCACGGAGTCTGGGATTGGGTAGTATTCTCGGTCAAAAAGAAATTCTTCCGACTAATCAATACAATAAAATATTCACATCGAATGACTTTAATTAATTAGTGTGATATATTTAATTTTAGATTTTATTTTAGCAATTTTTTGTTAAATAACTGTACTCTTTGAAGTAATAATATTGTGGCGTCGCGTCATCAGAACTCGTGATACAAAATTCATCTATCTATATAAATAAAAATGAATTTCCGATTGTTAGTCTAGCTAAAATTCGAGAACGGCTGAACCGATTTGGATAGTTTTGGTCTTAAAATGTTCGTGGAAGTCCATCAAAGGCTTAAAAGGTGAGAAAAAAAGAAGTTTTTACTTCGGTTCGAAGTTTGCCGGGCCAGCTCGTATAAAATATAATTTTTCACATTTCGGTAAAAATATTTTTGTTTAGTTCGAAACTATTGCATTTAACTCGTCGAGTACCGGTTTTGTAGACACAATTATAGAACAATAGGTTGCGGTCACCGGTGACCGCTTGGTGTTTGACTGTTTAATAGCAATAGGATCACCACAAATTGAGACTCATAACATTAATGGGGAGAACTGGGAATGTACAGAACCCTTTGCTCGACAGTCACACTTGCATCCACGGTGCAGTCTGTTTTTGTGTCTATAGGAAAGTTAAATACAACCTTAATAAAAATCAATCCTTTACTTGTTAACTAGGGAAGTGGGTCCACAAGATAAGGTTGAGGTATTTAATATTAATTTGCCGCGAATGATAGACTGCCGTATAATTTGCAATGTCGACAAGTATGTTAATACTATACAATCATTATTGAGTCATGTACCTAACTACTTAATGTTTTTAAATATTGATTTGTTTAAATCGAATATAAGAAGCCATTTTTTTATCAATAACACCTTATTACCGCCTTATTATCACCATAAATCATCTTAAGGTGCGTTTTCATGGAAAGAATTTACCGAAGCCTATAGACGTCTACATATTGCAGTACTTATTAAATAAAGGTACACATGTTTATATTATAACTTTTGTAAGATATTTAAAAAAGCCGAAATTATTAACACGTTAATGTGTTAATTATTATGTTTTCGGCTTTTTTGCTCACATGCTATAAAATAACGTTCTATTAATTAAGCATGTTAAAATATTTTCAAAAATAGAACGCCTGTCTATTCGCCAGCATGCCATAGAAACGCCTATCAATTCGCAGTTTAGAGCAACATTCCGACACACACGCTACTAAGTGACAAGTGCTCACTTGATTCATTCCTTTGTGCTTGAAATTAGCACATGTAACAGTACCTTTAAGCTTTTACGTATTTCCAATCACTAAACCCTTTCAGTCGTCTTTTAAAGAACTCCTGTATTTATATTAGTGTAAAATTATAGTTAACCACTGTCTTCATCCGAGTGCTTCGGTTATGAATTTCAAGTAGATTAAGTACCTCGTTTTAAGTTACTAACATATCAAACTTGCGTCAATTTAGCCAACCAAATTCAGCGTCAGAAATAAAGATCATAATAATTATGGTTTATTAATTTTTATGTTAATAGATCTCCTTTGTTTACTGTGTTATATCTGTTTTGAAAAGTGTCCTGCACTTTTGGTAATTATTTGAAAAAAAATAATTAAAAACTATTTAAATAACGAAATGAGACAGTAAAACAAAATATTAAATTCGATAGTCGGTTTATTTATAATCTGTCAGTGCTAAGTTCTTCATTTCCAATATTGAGCGATGGGGGCGGCGTAGCTGATGGGAGCCACGGCCAGGCGCGAGCTGTAAACGGGCGCGGAGTAAGCCAAGGGAGCAGTGTAACTGTGGACCAAGGGAGCAGCGACCGCCACGCGGCTGATAGGCGCGATTAGGGGAGCGGAGCGCTTCTTCAAGATGTGGAAGCCGGCGTTGTCCAGGGCCTTGGCGGTGTAGTGTGCAGAGCGGTCCAGGTTCACGTCCAAGGTGTCGAGCGGCCTGCCGTCAGCCGCGAGGATGTTGGCGGGCTGGCCAGGCGCCAGGGATAGAGGGCCGCGGTAGTTAGGGGCGTAGGGGGCCAGCAATGGCGCCCCGTAGGCGAAGGGTGGCGAGTAGGCGAGGGGCGCCGAGTAGGCGAGGGGTGCGTACGGTAAGAGCGCGCCGGCTGCTGCGGCCGCCACCAAGCAGGACAACACCACCAGTTTCAGCATGTTGTATGTGGAGAGGTCTGTGTTGTATCTGAGCTCAGATGCACTGATGCACTTGCACGGTAGTGGTCTCTTTATATATTAGTGTAATGAGACTATTGACATTACAGGCGTTGCCGGAACACATCGTCGGCCCTGAGCGAACCACTTTTATAAAGTTCAGTCGATCGTTCTTTGTATGTTTGTAAACAATGATTTAATTAAGTGGTCATGTGTGGATTTATTGTTATTGTAGGCATGGTTGGAGTGGACGTCAGCGCCAGATATTGGAAACTTCATAATTATGCATATTGCAATTGCCTACATGGCTGAACACAGCCGCGGTATGACATCTCATTGTCATGCGTCTATTATTAAAGCACTCACATTTTTGTTAAATTGTTTTGGCTGTAAATAACACGTGAGATTATTATTGCCTTTTTAACGCACTATTTTATATTAAGGTAATACTAAGTATTCTTAATAGAAGTACTCTTTAGAATACATCATCACTACATAGTATGAAACAAAGTCGCTATCCGCCGTTAGTCTGTCCCTATGTCTTAGAACTTTAGACCCGAGCGTACGGCGCGTCGCGTTCCGCGCGCGCCTCAAAGAGCCATCAGACCACCACAGATGGGGCCCAATAGGGCCGATGCCGATTCGGAGTCGCGGAGAACCTAACGGGTAACCGGGGCTCCGGCTCGACGTGCAGGAGAAGGAACGGGGTGGTTTTTAGTCAGTAAGAGTCTGACACTCCCTCCCGCCTCACCCAGGCGGGGGCAGTCATTCGATGATTTTCCCCCCTTAAAAAAAAAAAAAAAAAAAAAAAAATGTCTTAGAACTTTAAAAATACGCAACGTATTTTGATGCGTTTTTTTTAATAGACACAGTGATTCTTAAGGGAGGTTCATATGTATAATACATGCATATTGCACCCGTGCGAAGCAGGGGCGAGTCGCTAGTAATAACTTATTATAATTTAAATAGCAAGAGTCCGAACGGTGAAAAGTATGCACATACGACAATCAAGCATTTATTACTTATAATTTTAGGTCACACATGACATGACTTATGCTAGCATTTACACCAGGTATATCAGTTAAGTATCCAATTTCAATCGAATTACCTGTTTTGGATCTATTCTGCAATATTAAAATATAGGACGGTAATACAGTGACGACATATAAACAACGAATGTCGTGTGCTTAGCGACTAAATATCGGCTTGTACAAGGACTTACTTACTATTGATTTTAGAATCAGTTGACTGCTATGAAATTCTCAGTATGGCTGTAATTTGATAACTTTACTAGTAACATGAATAGGTGAACATAACAATAGATCTAGTTGCTCGAATCTTGTGAATGGGAGCATTTCTAGTCGTACTTTGTCAATGCTGTGGCTGTGAAAAATGCCTTAAGTCTATTTCAGCATCTAGAAAAGTATTTTTACTTAACATAACATCACGCCTTTTCACTCCCACATTTCACAATTTGTGTTATAAGCCCCATGTAATAGGGGGTGAGCCTATTGCTATATTTTATACCGAGCATAATTCCAGACACCGTGCTACTACTACTATTATTGTTTTTTAAATCCAGTAATACTTTGACTGACCCGGGAATCGAACCCGAGACCCCTTGCCCGGCAGTCGCACTTGTGACCACTCGGTCAACGAGGCAGAGAAAGTATTTTTATTTATTTATTTTTATTTGTAACACTTGCACATATAATTTTACAAAGGCGGGCTTAATGCTGGATGGTATTCTCTACCAGCCAATCGCAGGGTGATGCAGAGGAGTCTTACAATAGATTTTAAATAAGTTTGTATCCATTGAAATACGAAAGTGCTAAATGAACAGCTGTATATAAATATTTTTTTCCCAGTAAAGTATTTATTAAGTAACATTTTATTTTATGGAAAACTACTAATGGTACTACGCCTGATGGTAAGTAATGGGCATCACCCGTGAGCACTTGAAACATTAGAGGAGTTACTCCGGTACGGCGACGGTCTTTCGTACGATGAAACACAAGGCAAGCTTTGTTTCACAGGAGTTTACTACTCAGTAAGATTTTCTAACAATTACTATTAAATAAATGATAGTACAATGCATGGGCGTAGCCACACTGGGGCAAGCTGGGGCACTTGCCCCACCCTGGGCCCTGGCTCTGACCCATAAGGTGTCGGATTAAACAATGTTTTTTTTACTAACTCTAATTAACAACATCTACAATCATACTATCCGTAAGTAATTGCACAAAAAAATTGTCGACTTTGAAAAGAGCGCGATCAAAACTAAATGCACGCTCGAGTTCCCGAAAGTGCGCGGTGCGCGCGTCATTTGAAAGAGAGCCGTATTCCCTAAAAGAAAAGGTACTATGTGGCGTAGTGAGCCGAGCCGTCCATCACCGCGCGGTCACTCATTCCCGCGCCCCGCGAAGCGCAGACTAGAAATCTTCTATGGTTCGTGGCGCGATTTCTATTGTTTGCTTGTTTTGTTTAATTTAAATTTTCTAGTTGATCTTAATTTTAATTTTTGTAAATTAAGTGATACTTTCCCAAGCGAGGCTGAGATGTGGTATAATTTGTGGGAAGAAAATAATACGGACATTAATGCATTGAAGGAGATGGAACTGGTAGATGTGATCAAAATTTCGAAAATGCAATTTTATCCTAGTGTTCGCTATTTTGCTTGCCCAGCCATGTACGACCTGTACAATAGAACGATCGTTTAGCACATAACGGCGAGTCAAAATGTGGCTTCGCTTAACCATGAGCGGCGAAAATCGTTTGAGCGGCCTGTGTACATGCTAAGTGTGCACAGAACAAGGGTCTCAGAATCGAAAAATACATTTTTAGTAGAAGTGCTTAACAGGTTCTGCCAGAACAAACGCCGTCTTCTTTTGAAGTAATATTACTCATACATAATATACATAATTAAAACTTTAATTTATAAACACCCAGTATTCATAAATAAAACTATGAAATCTGTCCTGTGTGTGATTGTTTATTTTCTGTACCTGAAAATATAAACCTCCCAAATTAAGAGATTTTTTAATGGGACAAGCTCGCCATAACCTTCCAAAACCGCTGCAACTGCAGTGCACCAGGATCTACAGTAGATACAACCATGAAAACACCGGAACACTGAAGTCCGGCGCGTCCCATGGACATCAGTAACTGTCTTGGTTCCGGCAACAAAGTGAATCATAAGAATATCTTCTGAGCATATCTTATAAGAGGAGAAGAAGAAAAAAACTATAGTTTCCACTTCCCTCGGTGAATTACTGCAGGAGACAGAATGAATTAAGCCTAAAGGCACAAAGAAGAGACTGTACAACTGGGTGAAGCCCAGTCGCCAAGCACCACGGAAATTTGACTAATAACTAAGTGGGTCCTATGTGTGAGCTGTTATACTTGCTTCCAATAATAGGTATGGCAAAAACGCCTAAACGCACGGAAATTCGTTCTAGATTCCACAAGGTCCGTATAATAAACTACACCTGACGAAACAATTAAATTATTTAACATAGTGTTACGTTCATATTGCCAGAGATCACACTCCCAGAGTATGTGATGGGCCGACTGCTCGTATCGCAACTCCTCTGTCGAACATTGGCACCATGGTGAATCAATAAGTTTAAATGAGAACAATTTGCCTTTAAAGTTGCCGTGGCCAGTAAGAAATTGGGCAACACAGTGATCCACCTCCAACCATGTCCTCTCCAGCCGCTCATGCACGGATGGAAAGAACTGATACAGGTGGCGGCCCTTAATAGAAGATGCCCATCTACCCTGCCATTCAGTTATAAGCTCATCCCAAACGTCCGTTATTGGCTTAAACAATCTTGCAATTTTATTTCTATCACGTTCTGCCAGAAAGCTAGCTGACAAATTAGGTCTCGCACTGTAGTACATAGCAGCACGTCGCTGCACCTCAAGATCTACCGGAAGTACGCCCGCGAGCACAGGTAGGGCTTCAGTGCTAACCGTCCTATAAGCCTTACACAGGAAAATCAAGGCTAGACGCTGGCCTTGAAGAAGTTTTCGCCGTACCGCGCCTATTGTGGCCCTATCAGCCCAGACAGGTGCCCCGTAGCACACGCATCCCAGGTAGGTTGCTCCGTATATGATCCTGAGCGTAAGAAAAGAGAGACCCCAGGTGGCTTTTGAAATTCGCGTCAGCGCATAGAAGTTTTTTTTGGCTTTCTCACTAATAGCCTTAATATGCTCAATGAAAGAAAAGTTTTTTTCCAAAACTAGACCGAGATAGCAAACCGACTCCTTTCGTTTTACGGAAACGTTGTTAAATTTAATAGACGGCCACGACTTTAGATTTCCTTTAAGCAATAGCTGGTAAGTTTTATGGGGTGTAAAAGTCAAGCGATTTCGTTCGTTCCCCATCGCGAGATCCTACTGAGACAGTCTTTAGCCAAATTTAAGAGATTAACAAGTTTGAGATTAACGGCTCAAGGTACAAAAAATCGGAGGGCCACCGCCCTCCCCCGGGGGATTTTTTTTAAGGGGGGAAAATCATCGAATGACTGCTCCCGCCTGTGTGAGACGGGAGGGAGTGTCAGACTCTTACTGACTAAAAACCACCCCGTTCCTTCTCCTGTACGTCGAGCCGGAGCCCCGGTTACCCGTTAGGGTCTCCGCGACTCCGAATCGGCTCCCCCGGGGGATAGGTTGGCTGCTGCCCCACCCTGAGCCCAAAGCTGGCTACGCCCATGGTACAATGAAAAACGTAAGTAGTGTAGCAATATGAAAAAAGGGGTAGGTATTGAGATAAGACGAGGGTGCAGAAGAGAAAGTAGAGAAAGAAGTTTAATGTTTCGCTGGCCCTATACTGTAAGGAAGTGTAGTCTATGTCTATTTCACATCTGAACATAACATTGCATAAAAACACACATACCAAGTCCATCAACTACATCCACGCCTCCAACTTCAACTTGCTGCACTTCGACAGCAGTGCTTCGTCTATAAAACAAACATTCTATTTTATTTTAAAATATACAATTAAACTAGTCTCTACCCTTTCATTCTATTTATAGAATTCATTCCCTTTAAATTATCCACTCGTAGTCACAGGGTATTTTCCTTACAGGAAAATGGACAGCCACGTGGTTGTAAGTGTGGATACTGAGCACGAGGTACAATCTCCATGGTGGGTGAAGCAATGAGTTCATCGATTCTTAGAAAAAATGTCTCAGTAATAGTGTGGTGTCTAAAAGATTAAATAAAATGGTATTGTGGTGGTCCTCTCTACCTATTGATTCAAAGAAAACCTTATTATTTAAGTAAAATACAAAATACAAATTTTCCCTAGAATATTAAAAACTGTCATGGTAACAGTGGAGCCATTATTTATACAAAATTCTCGGTAAAAGGTTTTATTATAGGTAGACAATTGAGGGAAGACGGTTTTATTAAAATTATTGTATCAAATAAGTAGGACAGTATCTACCGATACGTCACAAGTACGAGAATACTGTATTGTATGCTAATGAGCTTAAATACATTATTCAAATAATTTTCACAGAGGAATGATAAAACCTTAGAGCTACCACGGGGGTAGTAACAGGGAGCCGGCGACAGACGACCACCAAAATAAATAGAAGCAATGAAAGTTTATAACAAAAGAATATTTTGAAACTCATTTTGTTTTCATACAAACATTTTTGTCACCATGTCTATACATATCGTTTTCCATATTTCTAGAAAGATAAAAAGGTCTAAAATGCGTAATATGGGTTTAAAATTGTTGCTAAGAAGAATGCTGTAAGAAGATCTTACGATGTGAAATACAAATACGTATGGAGTGCGCAAGTAATGAAAGTTATCTGTATTGAATTATAAATAATACTTCATCGAAGAGATACTTTATCAGATAGTTTTCATATGGCTCGGCTTGCATCGGGCTGATATTTTAAGTACGGGAGCGTTGACTGAACTGTCTCAATTACTTTGTCGGCTCGTTGGCATATGTATTGCAACAAAAGCATTAAGACGATGATGAACTGGCTAGCCGGGACTGTGGACGACCTCGTGGATTTTAAATATCAGCTTCCTGAACGGCCGCCTTGCACCGGTTTGCAAAACGAGATCGCCCTTAGCTTTAGTGGATACTTTCTATAAATACGAAGCGACACATTGGCAAGGCATCAGTCGTTCATCCGAGCAACAATACAATACAGACCAAGATGTTCAAGTTGGTGGTATTGTGCGCTTTCTTCGCCGCAGCGGCCGCTGAGCCCGGTGCTTTAATTGCTGCCCCCATCACGCAGTACACCACGTACTTGGCTCCCGGTTCTACTACCATCGCGAAACAGGACAGCACTGTGATCCATCCCTCACCGCTCTTCTACCAGGCTCCTCTGGCGTACACCCACTTCATCAAGAAGCGATCTGCCCAGTTCCCTCTGGTGTACGCCTCGCCTGCTGCGTACTACCCCGCTAACTACTACGCTGCTACCACGTATAAGCTACCGATCGTCCAAAGACCCTCGATCCTGCCAGCGCCCATCGAGTCAGTGCCTGCAGTGCCTGCCGTACATCTGATCAAGAAGAGGTCAGCACCTTTGTTCCCTACGACTTACTACGCACCCACCACCTACGCCGCCACCACTCCTCTTCTAGCATCCACATACACTGCGACTGCTCCAGTGCTCGCCCATGCTCCAGTTCTCACCCATACTCCAGTGATCTCTCAGCCCCTTGCCTACGCTCACCTGATCAAGAAGCGATCAGCTGGTTTGTTGAACACTTACATCGCCCCTGCTGCGTACTCCCACCAGTCGCGAGTTGACCTCCAAACGTCTCACATCCCCTATTCTTCCTTTGCCTACTCCGCGCCCATTGCTTACTCTGCACCTCTTGCTGTATCCCACCTGTACAAGTAAGCCTTGCTCAACGGAACAGCTGTCAAAACCCTTCATGAAAGGAGACTGAAAATTCTAAATTGTCACTAATCTGAAATAGTTCCATGAATGTACATAATATTGATGACTGATTAATAAACTCTGGATTTTTAAAAAATACCCGTTTTATTTATGAACAAGTTACGCATCCTTCTCTGTATTTGTATTTATCGCTTCTGATTCAAGATTATGCACTATGTATAAGGCAATAAATTCACCGTGAAGTGGAATTTAAAGCATTCAGCTCATTAAATTGTTTTACCAAATAAGGAACATTGTTATGTGGTAAAGTAGTGGTGTCGTGTGTCACATATACTACTCGTACTCGTACATTTCTCGATGTTTAATGATTTAATGAGTAATAAATAAACTAATGAGCATTTAAATATGGTTGTCTAAATTAGTAAATAGTATTTTGACAAAAAAATTAAGTTATGAAAACATTTAAGTAAAGTTTTAAACACAAAAAACATTTACTATAAAAAATATATTAGTATTTTTTTATTAGTGTCGAAACAGTAATAATATTGGAAGTTTCTGAATTACTAAGGACAATCCAATGATGTAATAAAAAAAAGAAAATCAAGTAAAAGCGATATCATTTCCTTAACTAAAGGGAAACCTACGTCACACTCGTTTAGAGTTTGAGGCTCACGTTTATACAACCCTTAGGAAGCAGAAGTAATGCACCCTTCTAAGTCACGTGTGTTACCGACGTGTTCTATTGTATACATTTCCTTAATTATATACGAACAAAGGCGTTTTTTGCTCAGCCATACAATAAATGTTTCCAATCGAATTGTAATACATCAAACAACATAAACTTCACTAGTTTTTGTTTAATGTTTGTTATTCATTGAGATTTATTTTGGAAATATTCGTCACAGTTTGAAGTATGATTCTTTATTATTGATTTGATTTGTATGATTTCATGTACACTTACTAAAAGTTAATTTATGTGTTACATAGAATAAAAGTAACATTTAATACCTTTTATCCGCGAAGGTACCTCTTAGGTAGAGGTGCACATTACGACCATTAATGCCAGTGTACAATGTAACACCCACTTTTCACTATTTATGTTATGAGTCCCATATAATAGAGGCTCACCACATTGCCATATACCGGGAACAATTTCAGATTCCGTGCTACTACTGAGAATTTTTTTAAAACTGACTTTGCTTGACCCGGGAACCTAACCCGAAACCCCTTGCCCATTGGTCGCACTTGTGATCACTCGGCCAACGAGGCAAATTAATCAAACAAAATGACTAAAAAATTCAGAATGAAAGTAAAGGACTGAAAATTAAACACTACAACATAAAAATAGCAGCTTTATTACATCACAAAATAAATTAACTTATATATAAACATATTTGGAAATAAATTAATCAAATATTATTATATTCTTACAAATATGAATGTCTGTTACTTTCCTTACTTGCTATTTATGTAATAGTTACATAGTATTTAAAAATATTACTTAAAGGGATTTTACTTTTAACTTTCCATAAAGTAGTTTGAACGTATTATCGCTAAACCATTTTTAAATTAATTTGCATAAAAATGCCAGTCTCAAATCTCATTGGTTTATTAATTTAATACAGCTTCTTCGGTAACAGCATCCATTTGTGGATTATTGGTAGTGCTGATTGCTTTATTGTTATCATCGTAAGCTACTATGATGATCTTATCTGACTCAGGATGTTTGTCTCCTTTATTTACATTATCTTGTTCGGGAATTTCCGTTACTATCACATTATTATTTTCATCACTTGTTGCCACCGCCTCCACGAATTCATAATTCTCTGCATTCTCTTCTTGAGCTTTATCTATCGATATGGGATGTTCAAGTGCTCTTGCCAGAGGTAGATTGTGAAAAAAACTTAACGCTACTGGCGTCAATATTGTATCTGCTGTAAAAACTGGAGTTATCACTGCTTCACGCACTTTATTCTCAATTTGATGATTAGCATACAAAGTTGCAGCTGGACTATATATCAACGGTCCAGCCACAAAACCTGGACTATGCTTGATATCTATCCTGGATTGATGAGATACTGCACTCGGTGCCGCGTATATCAAAGGCACTAAATCTCCATACACTTCACACAGTACACCCACAAATAACAGTAACCTAATCATTTTGATACTTGAACTTAACCTGGAGTGTTTACTAGAGGCAGATGAGACGTTATTTTATAGCCACGTAACGGTTGTTGTTACGTAGTGCGCCAGCGCAACGGGTTCAAGTTCTCGGCCGCAGCTATTGGACGGGTCGTTGCGTCACTGACGCTGAGGCCCCGGGGCACTGGCCGGATTCAGATGCAATATACAAACGTCACTCATTAACATTGTTGATTGATGCGCTATATTACTTAAAATAATTCGTGAATCATATTTGTTATTTATCCATAGATTGTGCTGCACGCATTTATTTCCGAAGCTAATTCAGGATCTATTGTAAGAAATGCGATAACATTTATAAACACGTACTTTGTCTATTGTGTTTATAAAAAGTAATTTGGTTTATTTGTATTCTTATAAACTGGCGAATTCCAAGTTTTTTGTGGCAACAATCACAACATTGAATAGAATGACAAAAGGTATTAATAGTTTGAATCCTGTCACTCTGAATCAGCATTTGGGGTATAAGAAGGTAGACCTCCAGTTGGGAAATCAGTTAGCTCTTGCAGTTCAATCAGATTTGTGATCGAGAAACAAGTTGAAGATGTTCCGTGCTGTTGTGTTGTTAGCTTCCCTGGCTCTGTGCCATGGCCATGCAGTGCCCGTCGTGGCTCACCACGCTGCAGTGGTGGCACCAGTAGTAGCGCCTGTAGTGGCTGGCTATGCCGGTCATGGTTACGGTGGACATGGATTTGGAGGATACGGCTACGGTGGACTGGGATACGGAGGCCTTGGTCATGCTGGACTTGGTCACGCAGGACTTGGTCACGCTGGACTTGGTCACGCTGGATTTGGGCATGCTGGACTTGGACACGCTGGTCTTGGCTTTGGCGGTCTTGGTCACGGAGGACTTGGCCATCACATTCACAAGCGGTCTCCTCATCTCGTCGCTCCTGTAGCTCATGTAGGACACGTGGCTCACGTTGCTCCCGTAGCACATGTAGCCCCCGTGGCTCACGTGGCACCCGTGGCGGTGTCTCATCAGTCTCGACTGGACGTGCACTCTTCACCAGCTGTTGTTGCTACTTCAGTAGTGCAGCCCGTCGTAGCCCCCGTGGTGGCTGCTGCTCCACTGCACTTCGGTGGTGGATTCAGCGGTGGTCTAGGAGCTGGCCTCTATGGACACGGACATGGTTATGGCCATGGTTTCGGCCACGGCTATGGCCACGGTTTTGGCCACTACTAGTCACGATCTTACTTGATGTCAATAATTTGTATCATAAACGAATGAATGGATTGTAGTGTATTATAGTTTACTAATAAAGATGTGATAATTATGTTGTATTTTATTACTATTTAATGTCTTTTATGGAATTTTACTTACTCGCATGAAAATTCTAAGTTAAAGACTATCTAAAACTTACTTAATGCCTAAGGGTCGATTTTTCCAACGCTAGATAAATTTTAACGGAGGAATAACTTTGAATATTTGACAATTCTTCCATACTAAAAACTGTCAAATGTCAATTTTATTCTACTTGATGATGAAAAATCGGAGAATTATAAGTATCGCAGTGTTAAAATAAATACGTGATATACATATGTAGTCTACGAGAGAATCAAACTTTCTGTTAAGATAATAATAAGCTTCTATTACTTTAAGTTAATATAATTTCTTAATCATAAATATTATGTTAAACAAACAAAAGCATAGTAACTTACAATAAAAAAGTGAATGTAGGAAATAATAAAATTAAATTTAATAAAGAAAAAATATATTTAGGCTAGTATTACTCACAACCAGGAACTCAGTAACCCAGGTTGAATAATTTATAAATCTAATTCACCTGAAGGACAGTTAAAATTAGTTTGTGTCTTACACCAAAGTAACAGCCTTAAAACATAATTGGAGTTATTTACAGCTGTTATAAATACTAGAGATATTATTTTAGCAACGCATAAATTTTATGTAAAACGTGATCGTGGAAGTGAAACGTTTTTCATACTTCCGTACTAAATTGTTTTTTTTAACTGTATGTTATAAAAAGCCTTTTTTATCAGTCGACTACTTGCTATGAGTATAGATAGGTATTATTTTCAGGTACATTAAAAATGACATGAATGTTAACATTTGCTCCTAATATTATTTTGCTATGACCGAATTTATTTTACAAAGTTTCTGCTTAGTCGGATTTCTTGGGAACGGATTATAATCCGATGTTGTAATAATCCTTCGCACGAGCCAACCATCACTTCAAGTAAATTGAGATTTGCTTAAAATCATATTCGCAACAAGTATGAAATTTGTGAAAATATGTTGTACGTTGGAGGTGTAATATCGGTAGGTACGAGTATAAAACAAAAAAGATAGTATATGATAATAATTCGTTTAATTCGGCAGTGATAAATTCATTACAAGATGGTTTTGTACAATTTTAGATAGGTTCACTTGGTTTATTTAGTAGGGGTGGACGCTGAGGGCCTTGGGGTATACAGCGGAGTAGGACAGGGGGTGAGAGTATGCGGAGACCACAGGGGAGTATGCGGAGTAACCGGAGACAACGGGAGCGGAGTAGGCGGAGACTACAGCGGGGCTAGAGTAGGCAGACACCAAGGGGCTGGAGTAACCTAAAGGAGACACCACCGAGCTGTAGGCAACGGGGGCAACACCGACGGAACGCTTCTTCAGGTGATGGAAGCCAGACAGAGCCTTGGCTTGGTAGTGGGCGGCGCGAGCGGCAACTACTTCAGGGGTGTCGAGGGGAACTCCATTGACGGCATCCAGGACGACAGCAGGGGAGTGAGGAGCTTGAGCGAGGGCGACGGGAGCTACGGCGTGAGCACCATATACAGCGGGTACAGAGTAGACAGATGGGGCGGAGTAGACGGCGGGAGCGATGACACCGACGGCAGGGGAGCCGTGCACCACACTGGAGCTGTACTGCGACACCGAGCTGGATGCCGGGACCACGGCGCTGTAGGCGACGGGCGCCACCAGGCTGGGTTTAGCGGCAGCCATGGCCGCGACGGAGAGCAACACCACCAGCTTGTACATGTTGAAGTGGTCTGTGTTGTTATCGAACTGAAGAAGTTGGATCAACTGATGTCTAACACGCTGTGACGGATCCTTTTATACGAAGCGTTGAGCAAGTACTCATTACCAAAACATGTGCTGCCCCAACAAACAACCTTCAAAACTACTATCTATACTCTGATATTTAAGCCACCTAATATTTTTATTCTAGCTGGCGAAGATTTTTTGTCATGTGTGCTTAGGTTCCGGAATCGATTTACGGACAGTGACAACTGTCGCGTGAAATCCAAGGTGTGCATTACATTTTAGACAATTGATTTTCGAGTTCCTTGTGCTGTTTATGTGGGTGATGATAGTACCGTCATTAATCATTATAATTGTAACGTATTATTTTTTAATCTTTTTTTTATATATGCTTAGTATATACCTAGACGATATAAAAGTAAATTTATAAAAATCAGTTCAGATAAATTTATTTGCTGATTAGGTTGAAAAATAACGTGTTTTCATAAGTAAAAAGCTTTTTAATTCTTTATCTACTGAGCGGGAAGTATTAGGCGTAATTTTCAAGTCCGTCAAAAATATGATCAAATTATTTAATTTTCCAAACAGTAATCGCTCTTATAATTTCACAATATTCTTCTGTTTACACCATAGAGATACCAAGAATTGTGATGATGTATTCTCATCACAGTTCCAACCTAAAAAGCTAGGAAAACCAGTTTATATGACAAAAATACGTGAAAATAATAGTTATAAATATCAGATTATAATATTTGAGTCTCTAGTATTAACATTCAAAATCTAAAACACAGCTTAGGTCTTAGATTTATTTCGTATACGGTCTGTTGAATGTGTCACGCTTTCTTATCTAAGTGGTACAGTTGAAGCATGAGTGATAGCATCAACAAGTTGGCATTATGAGCATAAATGTCAGTATCGCGGCACGCAATACTAATTTAATTACTTCTTAAACAGACAAACTTGACATTTATAGTGTTGTCCTTACATATATTTTGTATATTGTTTATTTTGTTTTAGATTTGGACAGAGTCGTGGTATGGAGCGTGTAATCGTTCTGTGAGCAATTTCTTTCTCAAACATTTTTTTATGTATCTCTATAGTAGGACTCGAACGGGGGCAACCATAATTGTTAAACAGAAGTTTAACAATTATGATTGCAGGTTTGCTTCCCGGTTTGGACACAGTATTGTTGCGGTTTTCAGTACCACGGAGTCTAGTATTGTGTAACACCGGGCAGCATAGTAATGTATCATAACGTTTACATTTCGTTCGACTTTCTAAGATGATTGATCCTCTGAACTTGGTCGCCTTCTTCGCAAATCTTATTAGCCATTCCTTTGCACACGTGTACTATACAAAGTCAATATTTATAAAAACGCTGTATACTCTGTTCCAGGTTATAACAAATGTAGCAAGACAGTCTTTTTCAATAAGTTCCGTTTCCCGGGTCGGGCAAAGTATTACTTGGATTAAAAAAAATAGTAGTAGTAGTAGTAGGCTCATCCCCTATTACATGGGACTCATAACATAAATAGTAACAAGTGGGTATTACTTCTGTGTGCACCTCCTAGCCCTTTGAGGATAAAAAGGCGTGATGTTATGTTATGTTTTAATTTTGGTTTTGTCTTCTTTTTACTGACTGATTAATATGATTCGTCTTCATCATTGGTGATTGGTATTAATTTAAACTTGAATAATGAGCGATTTGAAGTTCTGGCATCTGTGTCTATAGTGACCTCTCCCCATCCTTCTAATTTAGCAAACAATTTGTCTGCATGATCTTACAAACAAATTGTCGATCAAATTAAAAGTTGTAAAACAATAGCCTGCAAGTAAAGTTAACACGTGCTTTAGTTTTCAAGAGGAAAACTTGAAAATATTCTAGAAAAAGTAATTAATTCATTTTCGCATAGAAAGTTTTCCAAGAACGATCAAAAGTCATCGAAGATCACGTTTGAAAAATCTTGCGCAATTCCGATTCGCAAACGTGACGCAGAAGAGCAATGGAAAATAATTCATTTGGAAATGGCTCACGTGTCAATATTTGAAAAAGATTTCATAAATCATAGGAGTATTGGAAAGATAACTAACCAATTTAAATAAGTTTTCGATATTTCGAAAATAGTAATTAAAATATAATGAGAAACAAGAAATGATGTAACTAAATAACAGATCTGTTTGTTGAACAAACTTCATACTTCGTTGAAAATTTATTTCGTTAAAGCTGTTGTTTACTGCAGTGGTAGTAATTAAAAACGTAATAGTAAAACGTCACATTTCTTATTAATAAAATTTCCACAGACGAGACAATTCGTAGAAAGAAATGAATTGCTGTTGAATAAAGGAAACTTCGAAATGTGTATTGAATTTTGTTATTAGACCGTACAAGTGCCCACAAACTTTGTTTAAGTTTGTGGGCCTCCAATAAATATCCTTGAAAAGTTCGCGAGGTTTCCCGATTATTGTTATTAAAGATACATATTTAGCCTATTTTAGTAAACTTGACGTAGCTAATCATTCAATCAATCGTTTGTGTTAAATAGTATGTTGGTAGCTGAGAATAATTTCTTGATTTGACTAAATAATAAGATTAACTTAACATCGTATTAAGGTTAAAAAAATAATGTTTTTTTAAAGATATTTTATTTACAAGTCATTATATCGTTCGTCATTCGTCAAATCTGAATCGAGGAACAAATTCCCCGTTATCGTGGTAGCGCTCACCAGGGGTGCACGCTATAGGCCTTGGTGATCAGAGGAGTAGAGAAAGCGACGGGCGCGGAGTACGCCAGGGGAGCGGCGTGCACAACGGGGGCAGCAGCGTAGGTAGAGATCACGGGGGAAGCCAAGTGGGACAGCACAGGTGCGGCGATCAGAGAAGCAGAGCGCTTCTTGATGAGATGGGCAGCAGCCAGAGCTTTGGCTTCAAAGTGTTCAGCACGAGCAGCGATCACTTCGGGTGTGTCCAGGGGCACAGCAGGCTCAGCAATGGCGGCGGAGAATGCGGGAGCGAACGTCTTCACGAAGGTAGGCGCTTTGTAGGCGAGGGCAAGAGGAGCGCTGTAGGCCACAGGCGCCGATATCACCGTGCTGGTGATTGCGGGCGATGACTTGATGTCAATGCGAGACTGGCTGGAGACGGCAGCAGGAGCGATGGCAGCGGGGAGAATAGATGGAGGAGCAACTATTGCAGGCTCGGAGATGACAGTGCGGGCGATTGGCTCGATCGATGTTGTCACCACTGCTGGAGAAGACTTGATGTCGAGGCGGGATTGGCTGGATACGGCTGCGGGTGCGGAGTAGAGTGCTGGTGCTGAGTAGTAGGCAGGCGCTGCGTAAGCCAAAGGAGTGGAGATGATTGGTGACGTGATGAGTCCTGAGGGCTTGCCAGCGACGAACGCCACCACAGATAAGAACACCACCAGCGAGTTCATCGTGGTCTGTGTATATTCAGATGCGAACGACAAGGGAATGAGATGTGACTGATGCTTTCTTTTGGTTTGCGAATGTATTTATACTGCTCGCGATGCACTAAAATGAAAGTCAAGTTCGACAAGTTTCATGACAGTACACGCAATAAGTTCACTTTATTACAATATTTTGTTATTTTTTTACATTGTAGGACCAAAATGTTAAACAGATTTCTCGGACACGCAGCGCCAACTCCTCTAATATCTAATATGTAAGTTCTCACTGTACGATAATTATACCTATATACATGAATGTATGAGTGAATCTTAATTTCATGTTCAAATAAGTTAAGCAGCGTAGCCTAAGTCTGAAATAGAATAATAATATTATATAGTATTGATTGATAGTCATTAATAATTAAAATCGTAAGTTAATTAAATGTAGTCCCTTTTCTTAGATCATGAAACAGTTGATAGAATATTATTTTCTACTGAGAAATAAACTAATTAAAGAATTTAGTTCTGAAAACATGTAGATATTAGATTATTTTAGGACCACTTTTTACCCAGATGTTTCACAACACCAATGAGGCATCGTTTAAAGTCTTACGTTCAGTTCATCGTTTAATTTTATCATAAACCAATAACTTTAGACTTACCTTACTAATTGCCTACTTCTGTATTTCTGGCGGAACATCAAGTAGCATTTAATTACCATACTTCGATAAAGGAAAATATCGTCGTATTGTGATTTATATATGGTGTGATTGCGGCGGATAAAGTACAATATTGAAACCGAATGAAAAGATTCAATAAAAACTTATTTGGGACGATTTATCTACTTTTGTGAGTCATAAACAAATCTGAGTTACTTGAATACTTTTCATTATTAGTGTATATTTGGTTAACTATCAATTGATATCGTTATCGTTGTCGCCAACTCGCATTGAACAAGCGTAGTGATCAATACTCAAACCTTCTCTGTGCGAGAAGAAGTCTTTGGTCAGTAATAGCCACTTGTGGTAACGCGTCGTTATTATAATCAGATTTGTCGTCGTTATTATAGACATATCGTCGTTACTATAATAATTTACGACTAGTGAGTCTCTAGTTCTAGTTCCGATTCTCGAGTCGATCACAGCATTATTAGAATATTTTTCCGTTTAATAGATAATTTTGAATAAGTGTAGAAACTAGTATTATGCCCGATGAGCGGAATACCCTCTAATATATAGGATAATATTGTATCTAGTAGTCATTAATGTATATAGGATAATATTGTATCTAGTCGTCAGTATCCGCTTTGCTAATACAGTGTTAAAATATAAATTTGGATTGTGACAAAAACAATAATAATAGGTCAATTTTCATACATTGATTAAACCAGTAAAATAATGATCGTAAAGTTACTTGTCTTTAATATTCAAATTAGTTACCAAGTAAAAAGCAAAAGGAAATCGGTACAAAATAATGCTATTTTGGTCTACAAAACATAAAAAAAAAATTATTATTAAAAAAACAAAATACCCGACTGCACACTAAAAAAAGAGTAAAACAAGCCCCACAATAATATTGATCAATCAAATGCTAAAAACTAATTATGTAATACCGTTTAAACAATACCTATATTAAAATACACTACAATATGTGTTCGTAATCGATAGTTAAATAAACAGAAACTTATTTTGAATACAAATTTACTGAATATAATTTATAAATGTTGATGGAATGCATCGCAGGCGGGGACCAACAGAGGCTTATTTATAGTCATTTCGGTTGTGCACCATTTAGCAGAATTTTCGTTGGTGGCGGTCAAGGTGGTCCCCGCCTGCGATGCTTTCCATCAACATTTATAAATTATATTCAGTAAATTTGTATTCAAAATAAGTTTCTGTTTATTTAACTATCGATTACGAACACATATTGTAGTGTATTTTAATATAGGTATTGTTTAAACGGTATTACATAATTAGTTTTTAGCATTTGATTGATCAATATTATTGTGGGGCTTGTTTTACTCTTTTTTTAGTGTGCAGTCGGGTATTTTGTTTTTTTAATAATAATTTTTTTATTTATAACTTTTTAGCTGTTTTTATTTCGATATATACAAATAGGGATATATCGAATAAAATCGCTATTTAGAGACGACCGTCAACGACGTGTGCCCTCATGCGTGTGCCCGCAATCGGGCTGTATACTCGAGCATATCCCCCTCCGCACCGCGCCGCGCGCCGCATGCCAGGCCACGCCCTATCTTTTTGCTTGCTAACGCATGAGTTGCTTTGCGTTGACGCAGAATTAACATGTTCCCGTGGGAATTTTGAGAAAAAACGTATCCTATATTAATTACTCCCGTGATTGAAATGAATCTAATGATACCGCATACATATTTTTTTAAAGGGAAATTTAGAAAAAATATTATTATGTCTTTATCCCGTGGGACTTTTAGGATAAAATGTATCCTATGACACTCCCGTAATCAAGACAAATCTAACGATACCTCATACATCAAAATCCATCAAGCCGTTTAGGCTACAGGTGGTCACAAAGGAAAAGACATACATACATACTTACATACACTCGAAAAACATTACCCTCCTTCTTTGGCAGTCGGGTAAAAAAGTAGTGCAGTAAATGTGAACCTGCAATGAGATATGGTAAGTACGAGTTTGTTGGTGTGAGTGACATAAAAAGTTCGAGTTTATTTTTTGCAGTGGTGCGGCCGGTAAACAAAATGTTAAGGTTTTATCGACCTTGGACGCGCTTTCATGCTTATTCTGACCAACTAGGCGTTGTCTTGACTTGTATTTACATAGAGCTGTAAGTACGAATTTTATAGGAATTTTAAGTGTTCTTAAAATTCTTATATGTAGTACTTATTACCGTTTTGTTTGTATGAAAGTAAAGTATGTTGTGCTTTTTGTCCAATTCCTTCCTTGGATTGATTCAGACAAAGTTGTTCTAAATTTAGGGGCTAGATTAAAGCAAAGTATTTAAAAATATTCAGCATTTCTATCTTCTAATTAAATTATATTATTTTTTAATTAAGTAAACAACCAAGTGAAACCGTTGCCGGTGGTACTGGTATCCAATCATTTTAAAATTCTTTTAAACCAATTACAATTCCAGAGGCCATACACAGTATTCACTTATCTTGTCTTGTCTTGAATTTTTACACTGTTTTCTTTATTATGGGAAATAAACTAGATACCTAATTATTTATATAATATCACTATTTTTCATGTCATTGTCACACCTAACAACAACTCTAGTGATATACGTTCCACAGTGTTAACTGGCTGACATTACGCATGAAGTGGCATGCGGAATCTGACGCACCGTATACGGCAACCGTATCTACTGCTCCAGCCTAAAGTACTTGTACCATAAAATTATAAGAAGACATTCAGTTATCTTGAATGCCTCATTGGTCAAAAGTGTCACCTGCGTCAAGCTTGTGTGATAAAATTTTACATATATTTTTTTTAATTTATTTATGACATAAACTAAAGAACATAGGTTTTTATTTTTTTAAATACCAACTAGTAAGTGCTATTATGAGTTCATCTCACTATCGAATGGCATGATAATAAAATTGATGAATCGAAAAAGGTATGTAAGAATTGTAGCAATTGGCGTTCCATATTCTTTGCCTACCCATGGGAGACAGGCGTGAGGTTGAGTATATATGAAATGAAATATTGTTCGCTTTGTTTTCAAAGGTGAGACGGTGGGTCCTTACTCTAATATAATTGTACAGTATGTAAATAAATTAAGTAACAATTAGAACCGTTCTTATCGAAGCCAAGCCAAGCCTATTCCTTTCGAAGCATTTGTAGCTTGTGCATTTTCATTGTTGGATATTTTTCGACTGTATTAGTATAAAATTACTGGTTATTTTTTTTCTACTACATCGACATTAATTGCAAATAAAAAAAATATACTCGGTGACAAAACTAGCAGCTTAGAGTGCCCAAAAAATAAGTGACCTTTTCATTGAAAATATAATCACTTATTAAAATAGTACACAAACATTGCCAGACCAATGTTTTAGTCTGACCGGTTATTCTCGATATCGGCTCCTTTGTGTTCGCAGCGCCAGCGCATGATTAGTGGTTGACAAGATTGAAACCAATTTAATGGACACTGACTTAATCGATCGTTGTAAAAAATATTAATAGAATTAGGTATTTATATATAACAAGTACAAGAACTATTTTTGATTGTACTATTTTTATTTTTAATCTTAATTTAAGTGCTTGTGCTAATTCTGTCATTTTGATATATGTATTAATGAACGTTGATAGAAAAAGAGAAAGACAAAATATTAAAATTTACTGCACTTTAATGAAATTCCAAACATGGCACAATTTTCCAACTCTTATTTAGAGCTAGATTTTTGCTCCAATCCAACACGACGAATGATCTTATGTTCTATTTAATAACAAGTATATAAGAGTAGATGTTGACTGTTGCACTATCCGGGATTAGGCCTGGATGGTCTGGCCTGGGTGTAGTTGGCCTTAACTGTGTTTTACCAGCCATGGGCGTAGGCGGGAGCGGCCACGATTGGTGCGTGCGCAGCTACGATGGGAGCGTGGGCAGCTACTAATGCAGGGGACGCCAACTGGAAGTATTTGGAAATTATAATTAAAGATTTGTTAAACAGATTTACCGTCAAATAGGTATAATACTTATTATATCTGCACATTATACATTCACATAATTATGTATGATGATATGTAGATATTTTTATAAATACTTCTCACACGATTTCAACTCAACCAATTGGTTTGATTTGATCAATACCTCATACGTAGACATAACGATAAAATAGTTTATGCAGTTTAAAAGACATCAACGCGTTCAAAAAACGCTAAAGGGGATTTTCGCTATTTTGGTAGAGAAGCTGTATGAAAGTCTATGTTTAATTAGTTAATTTTAAGAAATAATGTCGTAAAGTCTTGGTAGTAATAATTAATTTATTAATCAAACAAATAAGACTCGCGTAGTGATTTGCAGATAAGAAGATATTATCATAACAACTCAATATTTTTTTAGTTTTTTAACGTATCTTGCTTACCTTAACAGTGTTAGCGTAAGAAGTAGCTACAGGTACAGCGGCTTTAACTACGGGAGCGCTATAGATGGGTGCGCTTACGATACCGTGACCCCAGCCAGCGGCGATGGGAGCCGCGGCGATGGGGGCAGCGTAGCCTCCGATGTAGCCGGGAGCGGCGGCGGCAACGGCCAGCAGAGCGGAGAAGACGACCTGGAAATAATAGTAATACATCAATTAGTAATTAGTTTGATGAGATGATTTTAAAGTCGGTCCTGTTAATTTGAGACGTCAGTTACGAATATCGCTAAACTCGTCCTTTGGGAAATAAAAAGCAAGATTCCGAAATATGATTGGTTATAACCGGAAAATGCGTAAGTGCTAAATTAAGTTAGTTTATTGCGTTACGTTTTCGTCTATTTCAAATAAGTGTTCTATTTTGCTAACCCTTTGTACGATTTATAATAAATCCTTTATTTTACAATTACGCCCAAATATTGTAATCATAATCAAATTAGAATAGCTGTGCGTTCACAATAGATTACGTTGCGGCTACAATGAAACAATTAACATTTAGCAAAAATGTAGTATATACAGTTACAACAACGAAAGATAATTGTTTCCTTTGAGAACTTGTTAAAGGGAGCTGAAGCCCCTCTAAATAGGCCCAATAGACTGAATGGGCTGAACAAAGATCACGTGGTAACACGTAATGAGGGCCCATTGTCCAGTCTATTGTGGACCTCTCACGCGCCACGCATATGCTCAGCAGAAACAATTCCCCGATTATATTAATCTTATATAACCTCATTTATTATTGTTTTCCTTTATTATTAATTGTTAAATAGTTCCACTGCCTGTTTAAAGCAAATTAAGTTACAAAAAATTGTAACAAAAACATCGTTAAATTGAAGCGCCACAAAATTATTAAGGACTACATTAAATGTATAATTTTTAGTTTATACAAAATATTTATACAGTAACGTCTACATAATTATCTCTTTTATATTTGGGAAGCCCGATGCTCTGAAACTTGAAAATATTACACCACATAAAACAATTAGACTAATTCCAAGCTAATATCGCTCGAAGTGTGCGAAGGGCATGAGTAGGAGGACACATTGATGGCATATCTAGATCACGAGCGATCTAGACCGGTCGTCATAATTACTACCATTGACTATTAGTTCTTGACATCGATATGAATGATGTAACACAGCTGTATATCATACAACGTGACAATAACTTTTTTTTGAGAGAGGAAGTTATCAATGTCTCATCTCGTCCAGAGTGAAAGGGAGTCTCTGACACTTACTCGTTGTAAAACTACCCTGTTCCTACTCCTGCTAACATTATCAATTCTACCACTCTTCTGGTTACGTTCTCCGACGACAGTAATAAGGATGAATACCTAAGCCGTGGAGCTTTTTTATACAACGTAGCCCTAGGATGATTTCTAACGTTAGCATTTTCGTCTGTGTCACAGGTGCGTTTACAAATATATAAATTCAAATACACACATCACACCCAAACCCTATGTGTTTTTTCCTTTTTGAGTTTAGTTTGATTTGGGTGTAGCGTATTATTTGAATGAATTTTAGTAATTAAAGTATGGCTACGGCTTGTCAGGAAATAATTCACTTTAATTGTTAGACCGTGCAATAAAACATTTAGGAACAGAGTTTGCTCAAGGAAATATAATAATTTGCAAACGTAGTTAACATATCGTGTGAACAATGCGTATTGAATTGTGCGAAACGAATTTTGTTGCTATTATTTCTTTTGTTAAAATTATTTTTCTTTATTAGTATTTAAATTAGTTCCTAAATCTCAGATATATATTGATTTATATTTCCGCTTTAATTTGTATATTATGTTCTTAGTTTAGATATAGTCAAAAGATACAAAATACTTACACTTGCAAGTCCAGCTAAATAAAAATAGAATTATTATATGAAAATAATTATGTGGTTTATCATAATCAAAATTTATTAATTATAGTCCAAAAGTTAAAAATGCCACAGCCATCGAAAAACATTATTTCTAATTTACACAATTACAATGACAATTATTACATGTAATTTAAAAGTGAACTGAGACTTGAAACCTGAATAATAAAAGACAATCAAAGCAAAATTGCGTGCACATTACTTTAAATCAAAATATATAACAAATATACACTCTAATATTAGGTACTTATAAACAAGCAATTATCACGCTATTTCACAGCAGATGAAACAAAAAAATTAATTGATTTAATTTATAAAATATATCAGCGTGATCCACAAACCTATTATTATGATCCTATCATTTTATACAAGTACCTACTCGATTAACGACATCAGAACGTATTCAAAGAAGGATCCTAATAAATCGAGTCCACACAATAATTAAATAACGTCATAAGTAAATCATATAAAGATAACATACACCCGCCCATTATAAACGACTTTAATTGGACAACGAGTTTTAAAAAGTACAAATAAATATAAGACTTAATGCTACTCAATTTGAGTGTAATTTTCGACTTTGTAGGTTTTTTGCGCACAGGTTCTTAGGTATAATTTAATCCCGCAGTTTATGATAGGAATAAATTTTGTCATGGTCGTTTTGTAAGGAACATTGACATAATATTGTATTGAACTGAGCTATTTGCACTGATTAACGAATTGGTAAGTAAAAAGTGTGGCGCTGGAAGTACCGGGTGGCAACTGAACCGACCTCGCCCGGTCGTTGGCGTTGCAGAGAATGTCAGCCAGCAAAAAAATGGCAAAAACTATAAATGCTGGCTGATTCATGGACACTGGACGTGTTTGGAGGACAATTGAAGTACATAGGTATATCCTACTGTCAGGATACTTATGTATGTATGTTCGGAGTTAATTTAATATTTGTTTCTGGACTTGGAATAAGTCACTTGATTTAATTTAAAAATGGACTTTTATGTCGAACAAAATGCATCCTTCTAATAGTTTCGTTTGATTTAAGCCGAATAGTATGACATTAAGTTTTTGTTCTATCTATGTATAAGTGTGTAAATAGAAGATAAATGAACAAAATATATAAACTTTTGATAAGATAAGGGATGCAAGGGAGATGTGATTTGATAAAAGTCAAGTCTTACCAGCTTGTACATTTTGAAGGGATGGGGGTTTTCCGTAGAAGTGAAGAAGGAGGATGTAAGAGCGAATGTGACTAAGGGCCCGTAATCTGTTGCTTATATACCTCATAGACACATGGCTCGGCCAAATCCGTCTAACCCTACCCATAGCCTGGGCCTAGGTCATTCGTAGCTTACAACATAAAGTACAGATCGCAGAAAAGGGATTTACCAAAATTATTTTTGTGAATATCCCAAACCTACTGAGTTTATCCTATGCCTATGAAATTATGACACTTCATAAAATTACAATACAGTATAAGTACACCCGTTTTTTGACATTAATGTAATAACTACATTGTCCAAAATTGTAGTACCTAAATATTTTAGTAGACCTAACTAGATTGAGTATTTCGTAACGACCCTTCTAACTTAGTATTGGACAGTTACTCCCAGTCTGGTTTCATTATTCTAAGCGAACTTATTAGATTAGTAATATTGTCTCGGTATTACGTCATAATTATTTTAATTAGTTTTGCTAACAGATAGAATAATTGAAACAAAGAACTGGTAACTTAATCTGAAAGACTAGGTAGTAGAATCTGAAAGACTGTATCTTTTCGAAAAGAAAAAGGATAAGTCTAAGTATTGTTTTCATTGTAAGCTAATAATACCTAAATGCGTGTTTAATAATATGGTCTAGTATTAATTTTCAAATTGTGTAAGAGTTATAAATTTCAATAAAGTATCATTTGGATCGGCGGCCAATTGGATTTATGATTGTATTTATTTGTCGGTTTAACAGAATCGAAAAGTTTAATAGTGATTTACGATCACATTTTATGGTTTTAGATTTTATTAACACGTTACACGTTTGATTTAAAGTCTGCTCTTGATTGAGTAGTTGTTTGATTTAGTATTGATGAATTCTAGAAAAATATACCTTTCGTTAAGTAATTTGAACACCTCATTGAACATGAATTCGAAAGGATAACTCTTAGTACTACTCCATAGCTTGAAGAAATTATTTATATAGTTTGAAAAGATTTGAAAAGAAAATGACCATACGCCTTTAATTGAAAAAATTACACAAATTTAATTATTAACTTCTGAGTATAAACGCAAGAGGAATAACTTAAATAGTTCTTTCATCCTTTTTTTTACAAGTATTCCGAAAATTTTCTATACTTCATAACAGAGTTCAAAATCGATATCTGATGTGACGACAGTTCGCCATCTTATAGCTATTGTGAGTTTTTAAGGCTTCATCCTTGAAAACTAAAGCTAAATTCCAGGAAATTTAAATATAGATTTATTTGTAAACGGAAAATAGAAATGTAGTTACTAGGAATGGAATATCTTTCGCAGTACGCAAGTTAGTTCTAGATAGGACTTCTGATAATTGAATACTAGATTGCTGTTCTATTGAATTCTAATTTCTAACATTATTTTAATAACATTGCTTATGTGCTAAATGCGCAGATGGATGGATGGATGGATATCCTTCAGACTTGAGAAGTTAACAGAAGTTAACAATGTGTTGCTGGTCTTTCCTCAACTGCGATGGATTACTGATAATTCGAAATGAAGTGCAGCACATACTCTTTTTTAATCTCATATAGTAACAAAACAAACTTATAGTTACAAAATTATTCAACGACATAATAACATATAACATCACGCCTTTTATCCCCGAAGGGGTAGGCAGAGGTGCACACTACGAAACTTAATGCCACTGTACAATGTTACTTTTCTATATTTAATAATGTTATGAGTCCTATATAATAGGGGGTGAGTCTATTGCCATATACCGGGCACAAATACAGACTTCGTTACTACCGCCGGCTACTAATTTTTTTTTAAAGTCCAATAGTTTTTGTCCCACCCTAGAATCTAACCCGAGACCCCTTGCCCGGTAGTAGCACTTGCGACCACTAGGCCAACGACGCAATCATCAATATTATTCAGCGATTTGGGTAAAAACACCATCAGAATCGATCACTTACTTTGTTCAAGTTATATAAACTAGACGTTAAGTGTTATGGTTAAAATTTACTGTTCTAACGGTACTTCGAACACTTGGTAGTTCAGTACGATGTATTTTTAATTTGAAACGTACGTTATGTTCATACGCTAGTAACAGTACAAATAGTTTTGATACTTGTTTATATTTTCTTATTATTTAGTTACTTTTATAAAATCAATTCCCTTTATTGCTGTTGGTTTAATGAACAAAATTAGTGTGCAAGAAGTTTCGAATTAAAATCCTGGCTGCAGCCAGTCTTTTTGCAAAATGAAAGAAAGAGAAACCATTTATTGTGCTACAAAATAAAAAACAGATATAATTAAGAAAAACTTCTGTTTGGCCTGCAGTGGGCGAATTGATGCGACGCGACGCAGCGATTTATAACTAATTTGTTGATGACTAAATGTTTTTAATGTTAATTATTAAATAAAGTCGACCGGTCAAATATAAATAAAGTATTTTTCTGATACTAAAAGTGTGTTATTTAGAATCGATGTTTTATCATTTGTGTATTTTTTTGCTATAAGACCGACATTGTACACATTTTTTTATGTTTATTTTTCTTTGGTGTACAATAAAGTGTAAAATAAATAATAAAATTTCATTCTGTCCTGTTTCAATAACTTGTCTAGCCATGAATTTGCACAATAGACATATAATTTTGACACTTTTTGCAATTTAAACTTATATTATAATATCAAGTCGTGTAGAGCGCACTACAAACTTAGTTAATATAGGTTGACTAAAATTTATTTGTCCATACATGAAAATTGCCTACTCGCTAGTTGAGCAAAGGAGGGCAGGGCGTTTTCAATGACACTGTTATATGGTCGGTCAGCTGACTCGTTATCATTTCATATCACCATGACAACGCTTAATTATCTCTTACAAGTATAGTTAGTGTCAATTACCGCTGCCTACATAGGTTTGAAGTTAGGTTTTCGTTTCACTTGAGTTAAACAAAACTTATAAATATTTATAATGATTGGTTTAAGGGAACAATAAATTTGATTCTTGTCAGCTACCTTTTCGCGGCATATAATTTCACTAACAACTATGTATTAGTGTGGAATCGTAATTGTATTACACTTTTTATATACAAACCTAATTGTTTTTTTTGTTGTTGTAGTAAATAGAGCAACTAATTTGTTTTTTGCCCTACACTAGGATTTTCTCCTGTGTTGTGGGTGCGTTTATAAACATACAAGTTCACATACACATGACACCCAGACCCGAAACAACAATTTGAAGATCACATAAAGAGTTGTTCCGTGCGGGGATCGAATTCGCGACACTTTACGCGGCAACCAGATGCCCAGCCACGAACCGTATAGTCAGAATTTATTAAACACAATATTTAAATAATGGATTCGTAGCACAAATTATAAAATAAATAAACAAAACATGTCGTACATAAAACAGTATATCAATTATAGTATAGAATATAAGATAACACATTTAAATTAACGTATCCGTGTCATACTTATTAATTATATTCTTTAAGAAATATTACATTCAAAAACGTGTTATTTATAAAAAAAACCAAATAAAATATGATAGGAAGCTATAAAGGCTCGCCAACTTAGTTATTAACAGTTTGATATAATTATGTATGTTAATTTTATTGCTGGTATATACTTAGTAATGAGTAAAGTAAATAAAAATAAACTAGGAAAAGGTATACAATTTGAATTTGAATATTTCATAACATTTCATAAGGGGTGCGCAGAGGTGCACTTTACGACACTTTCAATCCATCTGTACCATGTATCACCCACTTTTCACAATTTTATGTTATGAGCCCCATGTAAAAGGGGGTAAGCCTATAGCCATATACCGGGCACAATTTCAGACACCGATTTTTTTAAAACCCAGTAATACTTTGCCCGACCTGCGAATCGAACTCGAGGCTCTTTGCCCGGCCGTCGCCCTTGCGACCACTCGGCCAACGAGAACGAGAAGAATATTTAACTCGATAAAAATAATTTATAACAACATTATGCTTATCTACTGAACATAAATGGGTCTAAATTCGACGTCCAGGTAAAGTTTCGTTTTCGACATTTTGTTTCCCAATAACAATAATACATACAGCATAACTGTAATCGATGAGTTACAAGTAGGCTATATAACATAACATAACATAACAACACGCCTTTTGTCCCCGAAGGGGTAGGCAGAGGTGCACACAGAAGTAACACCCACTTTTCACTATTTATGTTATGAGTCCCATGTAATAGGGGGTGAGCCTATTGCCATATATATACATACCTGGCACATTTCCAGACTCCGTGCTACTACTGAGATTTTTTTTAAAAACCCAGTAATACTTTGCCCGACCCGGGAATCGAACCCGAAACCCCTTGCCCGGTAGTCGCAGTCATAAATATAGGCTATATACTGTCAGCCGGAATGAAGCAGCGTCGATATGAAGTATATATGTCCATGTCTTTTGTTCCTCATTGGTATAAACACAAGATTAACTGCGAAATAAGACTTCATGACGCATTTAGACTGGTTAAATTTAACGCAGATAATTTACAAGTCCATGTGAATTGTTACTCGGATAACTAGGCTTTATTAAGAGCTGTCTAAAACAAAAACAGGCATAACGGGTTCTGCAAAGCGGAACTTTGAGCTATGAAAGGCAATACTGCATTTTAGACCCATTGAGTTGGGTGGGAGTATAAATTGACGCTGTAGGGAACAGGCACGGGTCAGTTGACAAAGCAAGTAAATAAATATTTATTTATTACGTAATTTATAATCGGTTAATAAAAATATGGCTAGTGGGTATTACATTGTATATATCCAGATGTGCACTTTTGCCTACCGCTTTGGGGCATTAAAAGGCGTGCAGTTATAACCACATTGCGATCAATAGAAACAGCTATCATTGTGTATTTTTTAAAAGTCTTCTGGTCTGGATCGTTCAAATCTAGCAATTGCCTGCTCTGCCTACTCCATAGTAGACAGGCGTGAGGTTAATATAAAGGTATATTCTGAATCGGACAATACGATAAAAAGTTACAAGTGCCAATTTTAGCTAAATCCTAACTTTATT